TATCACCCCATTCCCAGCTTCTGGCAAACAGAGACAAGGAACACCTGCTAATAGCCAGTGATGGACTCTGAATTTATCTTGTTCTTTTTTTTGAACCCTCTGATAGTCTTGGCCTTCACAACATCTTCTGGCAAAGAATTCCATAGGTTGAGTATTTGTAGTGTGAAGAAATATTTCCTTTTGTTTGTTTTAAACTTGCTGTCTATTCATTTAATTTGGTGGCCTCCAGTTCTTATGTTATCAGGAGTAAATTACACTTATTTGCTTTCACTAGACCTGTCATGATTTTATACACCTTTATCATATCACCCATTAGTTCTCTCTTTTCCAAACTGAAAAATCCCAATCTTATTAATCTCTCCTCATACAAAGCTGTTCCGTCTCCTAATCTATTATGTTGCCCTTTTCTAAATCTTTTCTAATTCCAGTATATCTTTTTTGAGATGGGGTGACCACGTCTGCATGCAAAATTCAAGATGTGGGCATCTAATGGATTTATATCTCAAGGCAATATATTTTGTCATCTTTTCTATCTCTTTCTTAATAATTCCTAACATCCAGTTTACTTTTTTGATTGCCTCTGCACATTGAGTGGATATCTTCAGAGAACTAGTCACAATGACTCCAAGATTTCTCTCGACTGGTAACTGCTAATTTAGACAGCATTGTTTGATACATATAGTTGGGATTATATTTTCCAATGTGCATTACTTTGTATTTATCAACATTGAATTTCATCTGCCATTTTGTTGCTTAGTCATCCAGTTTTGTGATGTATTTTTGTAGCTCTTCACAGTCTGCTTGGGACTTAACTGTCTTGAGTAGTTCCATATCATCTACAGAATTTGCCATCTCACTCTTCACCCCTTTTCCCAGATATTTTATTAATATGTTTGCACTGGTCCCGACACCAGCCCGTGGGGGACACCACTATTTACCTCTTTCCATTCTGAAAACTGACCATTTATTCCTACCTTTTGTTTTCTATATTTTAACCAGTTATTGATCTCTTACAGGACCTTCCCTCTTATCCCACAACATCTTACTTTGCTTCAGAGCCTTTTGTGAGGGACCTTGTCAAAGGCTTTCTGAAAATCTAAGTACACTATATCCAGTAATTCCCCCCTTGTCCACATGCTTGTTGACCCTCTCAACAAATTCTAGCCAATGGGTGAGGCATGATTTCCCTTTACAAAAAAGGTTAACTTTTCCCCCAATAAATTATGTTAATCTCCATGTCTGACAATTCCTTTCTTTAGTGTAGTTGCAGCCAGTTTGCCTGGTACTGAAGACAGACCTACCAGCCTGTAATTGCCTTGAGAAAGATGTTTGATCTTCCTTGGGTGGGCTACTGGAGAGGAAGCAAAGTCTCTGGTGTGCTTTTTATATTAAAGGAAAGAAGGTGATGGCTAGAGCAACCTACTCTTCCTGCATTTCTGGTATCTGAGTAGAAGCGGTGATGCCATAGGAGGTGAAAGGTTCCCAGAGTAGCTATCTTGATGTGACAGAATCAATGAAAAAGGCACCTAGGGACTGGTCACTCAATAAGTTGTTAATGGAATTTTGAGCCTTTCTCTTATAGGTCACTTGATTCATAGTTCAGAACTGACAAAAGTCACAGCAGTGACCTAAAATCATTGGTCCATGTGGAATGGATTTGGTCTCTCTTATAAAAAAGGACCCATGTAACCATCATCACCAGGAAGGGTATTGACAGACATGCTAGCTAACAGTCTGTCAGCTGTGAGGTTAATGAGTGAATGAGCCGTTGAAACTAGATTACTTGCACACAGTTGAGGAGCAGCAGTGGCGCAGCATGGGGAAATTTGTACTAGAACTGGCCTTTACGTGCCTGCCCCTTTGGTAGCTAAAAATAATGAATCTCCAGGCCTGCTGGTCTGGCACTGTTCCTGATCACTGAGTCCCAAACATTCAAACCTGGATGTTTAAAATTAGGCACTGAAATTAGTATTTAGACACCTAGCTAATTACCCTGATTTTCCAGAATGCTGGAATTCAGGGTCAGTAACATCAGTGGGTGTTTATTACTTCTGGAGGAGAGGTCCTAGTGCAACTTCTTTTTTTGATACCTAGACCAAAATGTATATTAACAGAAGAGCAAATAAATAACCAATTCTTCCTCTGTGAACATCTTTTCTCCATAATGAAGATATGGGAACTCACCTACTTTGGAACAGTTTTGTTTTTATTCTCTGCATCCTTCATGAGGATGTTTCTTAAAAGCTTAATCTTTCATTTAGTTCAGGATATGATATACAGGCAGTCCCCGGGTTACGTACAAGATAGGGACTGTAGGTTTGTTCTTAAGTTGAATCTGTATGTAAGTCAGAACTGGCGTCCAGATTCAGCCGCTGCTGAAACTGACCCCCAGTTCTGACTTACATACAGATTCAACTTAAGAACCCCAAGTCCCCAAGTCAGCTGCTGCTGAAACTGATCAGCAGCTGATTCCAGGAAGCCCAGGGCAGAGCAACTGTGCCTCGGGCTTCCTGTAGTCAG